TCTTTGAAACGCCCTGTTAAGCCTGCAGTTGCTCCACGCACAATACTTGAAACGTCTGATGATACAGTTTTCCGCAAACCTGCTATACCTGAACGACCAGCATCCTTACAAAGACCATTAAGTTCTTCATTTAGGAGTCTTAGAATATTAACAGATGTTTCTAATGATAAAGTAGATGTAATAATAATTTAATTTCACTATGCATGCTTCAATATTGAATCATTTTTTATAATTATAGGTGGATCAAGGGCCTATGTTGGAAAGAGCACACCTGTACACTGTGTCTAAACAACAAGTTTCGTTGATACAAGTTGGTGATCAATGTGACGATAAAGAAATTAATCAAAATCAACACACTGGTTAGTATGAATTTATTATTATTGTATTTAATTTTACTTTTAAGATAAATATTTTCAAAATACTTACGGGGATATTTATTACTCAATTTCAGATAATATAATGGATGCTTATTGTACAAACCAAGAGAGTCCAAATGATGACAATGGTGGGCATAATATAAGTCCAAATTTTTCTAGTCACAGTCATATACCATCAGACATCCAATCTGGTTAGCATATTAACAATTATTAAATTATGTTTTAATTATGAGATGAAATTCATTTTAGGACAATCACCAGCATCAAAAACACCAACAAGAACTCAGCGACCCATACCTCCACCACCTCCGCCACCAGTTTTATCTACAAAAAAAGAACCCGAAAGTACAGATTTATAGCGTTAGAAAAAAAGTGATAGAAAGTTAAAATTTGTTTTTATTTCATTATTAATACATTGACCAAAGAAACAGAAAAAGGTTTTTTGAGCTCAATTTCACTGACGAAAGAAGCATTTAATAATTTCTATTTTGTGACCTTAGCCTACCATTATTTATTTATTTATTTATTTATTAATTAATTAATTAATTTTTATTTTTTGTTAACTTGAAATATTTTATCTTTTATTTATATATACGTACATATACTATTTAAATTATGTAAATTATTATTGCAACATATTTTTCTTAAAAACAAATTGTTGTATACCTATTACAGATTGTAACTTAATATTTTTAGACCTTATATATATTTATAGGTACCTACTTCCTCATATTTTTTTACTACACATACAACATTTTCATTTGTAATTATTTAAACTATGAAATACAGGGTAAAATAACTAAAAAATTGAAAGTTGAAATCATTAAAAAATGCAGATATGTTAAATTATATATTATTTTTTAAATTAATTTTCCATAGTCAATGTGCACCAAATAAAAATATTTATCAAAAGTAAAATCCACCATGTTAAAACTTTTGGTCTGTGTATCTTTAAAATAAAAGTTTGATGTTTTAACTATTTATTTTATTTGTAATTATCAATGGGTATAAGCTCTTTAATAAAGTATACATATAAAAAAGTCAACTAACACATGGGTATTAATAAATGATAGAAAATGATAGAAAAAGAAAAATTGAAAATTGTATAAGGTATATGAATTGATAATATAAAAATATAGTGCAAATTTCAAGTATCTGGAGTTATTCGTTTTTAAATTACAATTTACAACAAAATAATACATTAACAAAATATATTGTGGATTTACGCTTAACTTCTTTTTTTAATTTTCACTCACACCAACTTACGAGGAACATTGTATTATATTTTCAAGTTTTTTGACTTGGTGAATAATGTTTTATCGACATTAGTTTGAAAAAAAAATCGAAAATGTCATATGTCCATGTATAGTTTAACAAGAGTCAAAATATTTTGAAAATTGTATTGTGTGTAATAGAAAACTCTGATTTAGCGAAATGTTCATAGGTCTAAGACATTTTTTTGTTGAGTTACATCAAAAACCAAAATAGATTTGTCGAAAACCGGATCTGTATAAAAAAATTCCTATTTTTCTTTCGTTTTTGAAAACTATTGGGAATTTTTTATTTTTTTCACCCCCAAAGTACCAACTAGATTCACTTTCCTACCTGAAAAGTTACTGTTGGAGAAAATCGAAGAACTTTTTCTGTCCCAAAACGTGATGACAAATACGAAAAAAAAAAATGAAAAATAAGAAAGTAAAAAATCACCCATCATTGTAAAATCAATACATTCATTTCTCGGCTTAGAAATTAGAATCTAAAAAATATACTGTAAAGATTTGTTAGGCAACTTCGGACTTCCTATAAAAAACTAGGACTATTAAATAAATTTAGATTGTGTGAACTTTTAAGAGATAAAAAATCAATTTCAAACAACTCATGAGCAGAAAATAACCATTTAAAATATCTTAGGCAAGCAGCAATTATTAATAATAAGTAGAGGTCGGATTTATATTCTTTTAAAATCCTTAAATATGATGTTTTATTACCTTAAATATGCAAAATATTCATTGATATTAAAAAAAAAAATTCAGTTTAAATTTATTTTTTATTAATTCGATTTTAAATATATTTAATTAAATTAATTTTACAATAACAATTAATAACTATATATTGTTTAATGGATAGTCGTGACAGCTAACGAAATAAGTAATAACCGATGGGCTTTCGCAATCGATAAGGAATACTTGGAGATTAATTTTTATTAAAACCCAGAAATAAATCATTTAGTGTACATTGTATTTATCAAAGTGCTGATATACGTGAAATATGTACATTATAAGCCGGATATTACAAAAATATTCACAAATATTCTCTAACCTCTAAAATATGCTTTTTTATGCAAAATAAATTTTTTTCTGTGAATTCTGTGCTTAATGATTCGTAAAGATTTCTCACTCCCATTTAACTGCACAGACTAGAAACAAATATGTAAAATCATAAAAATCCGACCTCTAATAATAAGTTATAAACTACTCGTATAAGGTCGTAATAGGACGTTGTGATATGTCTGATGTATATATTTTTTAATTATGTTAACTATAAACCAATAACCAGGAGATAATGTAAGTTGAATTATGTGTAAACAATATTCTAGATCTGATCTGATTAGCTGATAATATTTTAAAACAAAAAGGATTCCTAATTTCTATGTATTTTGATGTTCAAAATAATATTTCATTTTATTTATTTATTATTTAGTTAAGGGGCTTATAGCTTATAAGTGATCTGTATTTTGCTCAACGCATGCCTTTCAGGAAAAACTCTCACGGTAGAACCATCTTTTTTTGATAATTTTTTTTTTCAACGAGAAACTTTTACATGGTGCTTGGACTTGGATTTTTGAAATCCTTTTTCTCAACAATACAATAGGATTTTGAATACGACCAATTTTCAAAAGCATTTGTTATTTTTATTATGTTTGATTCAAGCAACAACATTTAAAATCAAAGTTCAATGCGCCCGGTAAAAAACTATACTCTAACTAACAGAAAAAAAAATTAACCAAATCTGTCGGCTGTCCACTCTACGATGCTCGGGAGTTGAGAGACAAGAGTTTTTCCTCTTAAAATCTTCCATTATTTTTGGTCGGCGGTGCCGTTGACATGTGTGTGCGTGGAGTGTGCGTTGATAGTCCTGTAGTCGTATCACTCGTATACAATCACACTCACTATTTTTTTTATAATTATCATTGACGACCAACACTAATGCCAATATGCCATCAATTGCCATGAGGAGCAGCAACGAATTGCCTAAATATTGCCCCTTAAAGAAAATCTCTAAACCTCTAAGATCGTCATTAATGAGTACTAACATTATTGGAACAATTTTAAAAACATAAACTAAATACAGGAACCTAAACAAGTCAAAATCGTCGATAACATTTACCACAGAACATCGATATCATTAAAATTATTCTAATTTGGTTAAAATACATTTAAGCACCTTATTAAGAGGAGAAAAGACTTGTATCTTATTATGGTGCATGGAATAATATAACCTCATGTCCTCATTATGTTTTATTCCCCATGTACTGATAAATTAAATGAATGATAATGCATGTAAATCTAATATTTTTAATGGTTTCAGGATTGAAGTTTTTGACCTACAGTGCAAATCTTCAAGCAGTTGCGTGGCGAAGTAAATTTTTTGGGGCAACCGCCCCTAGTACAACCCAGGGGTGGATGGGTGCTTATGTTAGTGGGTGATATCTAAGGTTAAATAATATATTAATTTACCTTTATGTCATTTGTCATTCAACTGCAGTATACTATTCTAGAATTCTTATTTACTATTATTATTATTATTATTATTATTATTATAATTATTTAGAATTGGTTAATAATAAAAATAAAAATAATAACTTTTTTAGAGGTTTGTAATAAAATTATGGTGGGGGGGGGGGATATACAAATCTGTAAGACGTGGGTGGGTACCAAAAAGATGTATTCGCCCCTACTATAAAATCTTGTCGCCACGCCACTGTCTTCAAGTATCACAGCATTTGGGTTAAGATTAAAAAATTGAGATAATTATTTTTGGATTTCTAGCTAAAAATAAGTTCCAAACCTACATCACTAAAAGAAGTTAAGTAACATAATTTTTTCGATTCAGACCATGAGAAATGTACAATGTTGATGGTCTGAAAATTCTCAACCCAAAGCTGTCCATTATTTGCCAGAACACAAATCAACTTGACATTTTACATATACTTCCGGGGAAAATATACTTAATCAAATTGATAAGTTGGATTTCAATCTTTAAAGTATAATGTTTCTTACTTATATCTTATTGCATATAGTTTCCATTCGGTATAGATAATGTTAGGAGAATCAACGCCAACAGCAGTTTTCCTCCTCAGGTTCTTGATACCAAGTAAAAAAAAAAAATATGGATAATATATTTATTTTAAAAATGAAATGAAAAAACACATTTTTTTAATGATTGTAATACATATTAATAAGCTAACCAAATATTTAATATACAATTCATTTTTATATTATTATGTAATTATTTAACTAAATATATTTTTATGCGACCATCAATAGCCTTTTTTTAATGGCGGTGAAAGATTTCTTTCTAAAACCGGAGGTTCTTTGTAAGAAACTTTCTGATCATCTATTCTTTTAAGTTTTTCTTCCAAAATACTGGGTATAGATGGTGTTTCTACATTAGATATTGTACGTTCTACATTGTAACCAATAATACCAGCTACAAAAGCTATTGGGAAGGTTATCATTGGTACATATCTTAACAATATTCTATACAAAACCATGGTCAATCTGAAAAAAAAATCAAAACAATGTATGAATAAGCTAATAAATTTAATTTATGTAGTTTAGTAATAAACAATTTAGTAGAGATAATTTGTTTACTATAGTTATTATAACATTATATTAGTCAAAATATCAAATTTCTTAGATTATTTTATTGTTGATTTTGTTTAACTTGTAAATTTATAAATAGTTAGTATAAATACATTTTCAAATTCCTTATGTTTCTTATTTCTTCAAAACTTGTATGCTCGGCACTACTGTTGAAACAATCAAAATGACCAATTTTAAGAGGATGCTACACCCACATGTGTTGTTGTTGTCGGACACATGTATGATATAGCAAATTTTTGTTCACCAGTTTCAACAGTGTGCTGTTACTTTTGATATTAGAGTAAATTGACCTGTTATACAATTATTATCTAGGGCCCTGCATAGGCTTTTATTGATATTATTATTTTTAAGTAAGTTATGACCTTTATGAAACTCTACATTTTAAAATGATTTTAAGTCTCTTAAGAATACCAACAAGATCATGTTTTTAATCTGTAGGTAAATATGAAACTAATGGAGCATTACTACTTTAAAAAAGTGGTAAGGCATGTTATAAAAAAAGTGGGTAAGTGGGTGTCGCTCTGCTATATAGTAGGTTACAAGTGGATCACTGTAATAAATGGTGTACAATTTGAATTCAATGATATAAAACCATTGTTGACAAAAAACTATTCTGAGTGAAGACAGCATGTTAGCCTTTAATATTACTAAGCATAATTATTTTATTTTTAGGCATTAGTAGTACATCACTAGGTTAAATTCATTTTTGCCAAAAAAAATTGCTGATATGTATAATCATTCAGTGAAAAAAATCTATTTTTTACAAGGTTTTTGAAAACTATTTGGAATTTTTTACTTTTGACCCCTTAAAATGAAAACTAGATTCATTTTCCTACCAATAAAGATGCTGTTGAAGAAAAGTGAAGCATTTTTATTGTCCTGGAAGGTGATGAAAGTCACAAAAAAAAAAACATACACATCATGGTAAAATCAATACATTCATCGCTTCACTCAGAAAATAAAAACTAATTCATTCTTCCTCATTTGGTTCAAGTATTTAAATTAGATTAATATTTTAAAAAAAATCTTACATTTTCTATTTTAAACTTGAAGGTTGTGGTAATCTGTATTTGTGCATTTCAATCTCAGCATCAAAATATGAATTTTTGTGGTAACTGAAATATTGTGGATTCTTGTAGGGACCGTTTTCTGCGGCTTTCTTTACACGTTCTATAATATAAAAATCAATGTGATGGAAAAAATAATAATAATATTGCGGAGTATTGGTTCTTTAACCACCTAGAGCAGGGATGGCAAACCTTTTGAACACTGCATGCAAAAAATTAGTAATAAAGTTTAGGTTGTTATATGTCCTATAATATTATATAATATTTAATAGTAAAAATGTTCGCGTGCCACCTCGGGCCCGCGTACCATGGATTTGCCATCCCTGGCCTAGAGAATATGACTGTGCAGAAACCAAAACTAGTAACATTCTAATGCAAAGCTGATATGGGACAATAATATTTCAATAAGAGAGTAATCTGTGAGGATCTACATTTGTAAGCTTTTAGTCATATTCTCTGGATGAAAAATATACATTTATACTTCTATATATATATATCAGTACGTTTTTGTAAACAAATAAATTAGTAAAACCATAGTCATTGGTAAATAATTAATTACCTGGTGGTGGGTTAGCAATGATAACCTTGGAACTCAGACCTTTAACATTTGATGTAATGTCTTTTGGTTTTTCAGTTGTAGCCACGTATCTGCGGAACTAAAAATGTATCTTCTTAAAACTGGTATAAATACATATTAAAACCATTAATAAAATTGTAAAACAATTTAAAACCAATATGATTTTACTTTTGACATTGACTTAATAGAATATCAAAAGTATAAAGAAGTAATAAATTCACCTGATGGTTAACCAAACATGATCTCGTCAACGCATTGTTTATCCTCATTATTTTAAGTTGAGATGAATATAATTCGTAGAGTTAGATGAAAAATGTCCAAATGTTTTACAGTATTGCGAAATGTTATATTAATACAAACCTTACTACTTGTCTACTTAGTGTTTATCTAAGAACCTTACACCACAAATCACAATATCTATAGTTATCAATTATCATTTACCACATGTTTTTCTCGATGCATCTTTGGCGATGGGCACAGGTTATCAAACATATGGTTGGTTCAGTGATACCATATTAGTAATTATTTTCTCATTTATTAATAGATGTAACATTTTTGGTGAACCAAGTTGGACCAGCTTTAATTAGTGTCTTTAGTAGTGAAATAACTGTCAAATAAGGATTAATTATTTAAAATACTTACTTGGAGTCCTTTCATAGCCAGTTGTTAAGGTTCTTTGGAAATCACCCAAATATCTAGGACTTTTTATGTAAGAATCTTTGAAGCATAAGACTTTTCTCCAATTTCTTATTTCTATCCAAATTAATTACCTACAATTTATTACTTATAGAGAAATTCAGAAAATTAGAAAATCAATTTAATTAGAATTTATACAAGCCAGCAAAAACCTATCAATACTTACTTTATTTTTAAAACAGCTATTTTGACTCAATATAAATTATTAATATATTATGCAACCTTATTATTACCTATACATTTTATGTTTAGATTCGAGATCAAACTTCTAGAAGTGAATTCTGTTGAAAAGAGCTATTGAGCAGCTTAACGAATATGGTGATGTTACAAAATGTCTTACACAAATCGGTCATACTAATACTTAATATGTTAATACTATATATATAATTTATATATTAATACTTAATACTTATATGCAATATTAATTAATATACCCACGAAATATTTAAGTTTAATATATATATTTAATATTAGTAATTATGGCCACATGTTTAGATCATCTAGATAGAAATTAAAAGTATTATTGAATATAGTGTTCTAGTATAGCAGGTAATATTTAGTTACGTTGGACTTTCCCTTCAGTCAAGTTCAGTTCAAATGAATTACACTATTTTCACTCAACTTTTTTTTTTTAATTTCCGCCAACATCAATCTACGATAACCTTATATCCTATTCACAAGTTTTTTGAGAAAGCGAACATTTTTTATCAACATTAACAACTTTAAAAAAGACTAATGTTAATTGAAAATTGTATAAGCCTATAAATAGCTTAACATGAGTCATTATATATTGAAAATGTTATGTTGTATAAAAAATGCTAATCTAAATATTCAGTTAAAATTGCATGTATCTACGGTATTTTTTTAGAGTTACAACAAAAACCAAAATAAACTGTGCTAAAAAATTCACGTTTTCCTTAATATTTTTTTTTTGTTTTTCACTGCTCTTTTGATGTAACTACTCGGAATTTTAAATTATTTGACTTCCCGAATGTAAAAACTAATTAACTTTCCAATCGGAAAAGATACTGAAGTTGAAAATTGAAACATTATTTTGACTACCTATCGTGCAGTACAAATCACTAATCAGAGATCATTATTAGTGACACTAAAAAGTTAAATTTGTCATTCGAATGACATACCTTGCTATTTAGTAGTACATAGTAATTTATAATAGTTACAAACAATTCATTTTGAATTCCTGGGCATCAGTTTATAATGTTTATATTATGAATTTATGAAGTAGGTATGAATAATTTTTACGCAACTATTTTTACAAGGTTTAACTTATAATGAGGGCCGCCCTGCCGATTTTCAAGGCTCGGGGAAAAGTAAAATTGCGAGGCCTAAAGTGTCACTATCGTCAAGTGCCCCTTTAATCTTTATAATAGGGAAAGGGCCCAAATAGACTTAAAATATATAGTACCTTGTACCTATAACAATAAAGCTAATAGTAAAATAATAATAAGGCTACAACAATATATGATTAAGTAAATAAATTAATAACACAACACATCATTTACTTAAATATAAAAGAAGTAATTTTATTGATAAACTAGTTGATAAATACAGTAAAACAATACCTACTATAAAAATGTACCTGTTGTAAATTATTGTCCTTTCTATTTTTTAAATCAGAAAGTGTGTCAATAATATCGTTATATTTTAGTTGGTCAGCAATTTGTTTTTATAGATACCCATTGAATATAGTTAAATTGGAGTCTTTTTCTTGAGACAGAGAGCTTTGAAGATAGTTTTTACATTTTTTAAATAATTTTCAGCTTAAAAAATTGAATTTTAATAATTTGAAAATTATATTTTATATTTTAATTGCTATACTTATTAGTTATAATAATTATCCAATAATCTACTAGCCACTAGGGGAGGTTGTATAGGTTGTAGGTTATAAGGTGTAATATGTATTATATCAATAAAAATAATTTAGAAGAAAAGCACTCACGCCTTATTTATAAGTCGAATTTTGACCATTTATTTTTATTTGAAAGATGAGAACTTTTTTAGGTACGGTTAAAGCCCGAATTTTCATTTTACTCAAAATAGTGCTAGAAAAATAACAATTAATATTATACAATATTCAAATGCATAATTTAGCTTCCATAATTTTATTTTTGAAAATCGTGCTTTGATCCAACCTGCAAAATGTTCTATTATTTTAAGCTAAAAACAAATTAACGGAATGGCTATTCTACAGGGCGTATTTAGTTTTTCTTGTAAGACATGTTTTTGTACTAAAAACTCACCGACTTCGAAGCCTTTAATCATTAACACGTCTATAATTCGATTTAAATAAAAAAAATGTTTTGCTCATCAACTTGACTTTTTATTGTACCTATAGATTACGAGGGGTCTGTCCAACTGTGGTGAGAGTACTGGGCTCCTCTCGCCCTGCCCCAGGGACGGTCCTGCTTATAATATAGTAATATACTTTAACATAAATTCATTACTCAATACCTCATACCGTAGTATGAGGTCTATGTTCAAATTGATTGTTCAATACTCATTATTATGAGCTTTGTTTCAATAGTTATTCACTAGGAAGCGCTAGGTGATATTATGATTTAGTGAGCGCCGCTTGTGGGTATTAGCATTGATTATAAATAGTAAATATTATTAGCAGTGCTTGAATTGTGGTGACTGGTGATGCATAGGGAGACGAGACTCACCTGTAGGGCCCGGAAATTCATGCATTTGCATGTTTTAACTGAATGAACTAAAAAATTGCTAGATCAGCTAGTTACAAATTTGAATTATACTTATACAAATCCAAATACAACATTTTATTTTGCATATAATTGCATATTTTGGGTTATTTTTATGTATTTGATTATTTTACAATTGTTATGTTATTAACTATCTATTTGACTCAAATATTATGTAATTGACAAAATAAATTACTTCTAAAAGACCTATTAGTAAATAAAATAACCGCACGACCGCGGCGGCCCGATTACGGCTAATGGACAATATACTCGTATGAGCTTGCTATTGGAAAAGTTAAAAAAGTAATGCGCCTGAACCACAAATTAAGATATTATCCATGGCAACATATATTATTGTACAATGTATTTTTTCATGATATTAGCATTAATAATACGCCCAATAATTCCTACCTACACTTGCCCGATATGGGGTAATTGCGCATCCTCACACATCAAAAAAATGCAAATTGTCCAAAACAAAAGTCCTTAGAATAATTGCAAATGCCCCATGGTTTGTCAGAAATGCAAATCTCCACAGAGACTTTCAAATCCAAGAAATCGAAGATCGTATTAAAACATGGACTGAATGCATAAAATGTAATTGTAAAAAATTTCGAAAAATAAGTGAATATAAATTCATATTTGATTACTATTGTTATATAGTTAAATAATATTATATAATTATAATTTATACTTGAAATATAATAAAACTAAAATGCTGTAATTAAGCTGAAATGTAGTATACAAAACTTATGAACGAGAGGGGGTGTGGGGATTCAAACGCTCATAAAAAATATTGAGGATTTACGCTCAACTTAATTTTTTATTTTTCACTAACAACTTACGAGGAACCTTGTATTACATTTTCAAGTTTTTTGAGGACATTTTTTATCGCCATAAGTTAAAAAAAACAAATAACAATAAAAAATTGCATATGCCAATAAATAGTTCAACATGAGTCAAAATATTTTTAAAGAATGATAGTGTATAAACCATGTACACAAACATTCAGTGAACTGTGAATATTTCATGTATCTTTGGTCATTTTTTTAAAGTTACAATAATAACCAAAGTCGAAAACTCGTTTTGCATAAAGATTCCCGTTTTTCCTTAATATTTTGTTTGTTTTTTTCTGATGCTTTTGAAAATGATTGGAAATTTTAAATGTTGACCTCCCAAATGCACCAACTAGGTTCACTTTCCTACCAGACAAGTTGCTGTTGAAGAAAATCTAAGCTTTTTTACTGCCCAAAACCGTGATGACAGACACAGAAATAAAAAAATAAAAAAACGCATATCATTGTAAAATCAATACATTCATTGCTCCGCTCAAAATCTGAAAGGAATTGACTAGGTAATTTATTATTTTTAATTCAATTTTTGTTTTACACTTTACATCAAATAATACTTTTTAGTATGTACCTATAGTAATGAATAATATTAACAACTAAACAACTTAAAAATTTTTTTAACCAATCATAATTTTTTAAGTATATTACCAAAATAGAAACTTCTATATAGTATGATAACTTCAATGTAAACTTTAGTGTTGAAGAAAACGCAAAGGAATAAAAACTTAAGTCAACAATTTAAAAGATTTTGTCATTTTGATAAGTACCTATATTAGTAAATATATTAGTAAGTATGTATTTTAGTATTTATAAGTATGTATCACGGTCCACGGACTATATAACAATACATTTGCCTGTTGCACTAGCTGTTCGACTTAATTCGTTCGGAGAGCGAGATAAAACTAAGACGCAATATGAATTTTCAAAATTTATCTTGAAACAATTTTTTTTAACTTAAGGATTACGCAATTATTGTTTTATTATATAGAATAAATATCATCTAGAAATTGTTTTTTTCAGTAAACAAAGTAACAATTTTCCCTGCACAATTACTTTTCTCACTGCACAAAATGTATTTCACTGCACACTAAAAAAGTAAAAAACCCTGCACTGCATTTACAATAAGTGTGATATTACCA